TAGGCTTTTAATCTTTATGATAACACCCTTTTGGAGTCTGTTAATCCTTGCACACATGGAAGCTACACCAAGTTGTCTAAGAAACCCATTCACATTCTTATGTACCAGATGCCGTCCTGACCTTGGGGTTGAGAAGCCAGCAGCTGTAATGTTGGGGTTAGATTAGATCACAGGCAGAGATGACTTAAATTTCAGTTGTGGTTGCCATACACAATCCTCTGCCCGACTCTTGAAGAGCATCTAGAAAGCTGGTGTTTTAACGTGTTTTTGTTGTCTTAGACACCGACTCTGCAGCACTACCTATCCTACACTGAGGAATCCCTTCTGCCTGTTATGCAGCACCTGGCTAAGAATGTCGTCATGGTGAACCGTGGCCTTACAAAGCACATGGTGAGTCGACTGAAACTTGATGGCCGGTTCAAATCCTTTCATCCCAGCACTCGGGGGGGGGGGGGGGGGGGGGGGGGGGGGGGGGGGGGGGGGGGGGGGGGGGCAGCCAGGGCTGCATGGAGAGATTTGGTTTGTTTTGGTTTTTCTTTTTCAAGTTAAAATATAATTACATCGTTTCAATCTCTTCTCTTTTCCCCCCTCCAATCCTTCCCAATGTATACTGTACACCCCGGTGGGATGGTTTTTCTTCCTTGATTTTAGTGCTTTTTTTTCTCTTACAGACTATCAAGAATAAGTATGCAACATCCAAGCATGCTAAGATCAGCACTCTGGCACAGCTGAATTGTACACTAGTTCAAAATTTGTCCAAGGCCGTGACAAAGGCATAACTCAAGTGGACTACTACATCTGCAAATTGGCACCATGTGCCACGTGTACATAGTATACAGTGTTTACTTGCTCTTCAATAAAGGTTGACGTTTTTACTTTCAAAGCTTACCTCATTTGAATGTGGTCGATTCTGACTCTAGGATAACAGAAGTTGTCTGAAACATGTAGGAATATTTCAAAAACTGCTTTTAGTTTAGTGGGATCCAACTAATGTATATAACTGTAGCCTTTTTGTTCATATACTTCCTTCACTTTATGTGTTCCGACCTATCCTAAGTCATCCTGCAAAGTCCTCTGCCTAGCTCTGGTTTAGACTGCAGATTTCCCAGCTTGTCTGTCCGTCCTTCCTTCCGGTTTCTACTTCAGGTGGTTGATGCCCTTCACCACTGTCTCTTGAGCTATGGACTTTCAAGTCTGAAACCCAGTTTTCTTGTGTAATTATTTATTTGTTCTCAATTGGCTTGGAAAATAGGATGTTTAAAATTAAAGTTAACTTTTAAAAAGAATTTGCCCCTCAATCTCAATGTCCTGTACAAATGTAATCATGCATATGTTTCTAAGGAGATATTTTTATATAGGTTCATTTTTCTCAACAATATTCCTTTCGACATTCCTTTCAATGCCTGTATTGCATTCCATAGTGTGCATTTCATACTGTATGTAATGTAATCATTCCTTTAATGACATTCAAACTGCATTCTCTCGTTGCCTCTATACACAATACTGCTTGCTAAAATGTTGTTTTATACCTTGCTTGGCTTTATGCATAGTAGCTTTCCTAGGGGGGTATGCTTTAAATTCTGACAAAGCCCGGTGAGACTTGTCACCATATCAAGGTGCCATTTTCTCTTTCTCCTGTCTTGAGTGGCAAATATCCTGTTTTATACATCTGATGTCAAGTGGAATAAAATTTCATTAATGGGAAGCTTTCCCAATTTCTCATTTGCCCTTTTGACTGTTTAATGTTATCTTTTGCTGTGTAGAAGCTTCATGTTGATAATAAACATCTTATAGTAATAGATTTTCTTTTTTTTTTTTTTTTTTTTTCCCTTTTTTGGTTTTTTGAGACAAGGTTTCTCTGTGTAGCTTTGGAGCATGTCCTGGAACAAACTGTGTAGATCAGGCTGGCCTCAAACTCAGAGATTCCCCTGGCTCTGCCTCCGAGCACTGGGATTAAAGGCATGGGCCACCACCACCAGGTTTAGTTACGGGTTTTCAGTCTTAAGATCAACAACTGGGAAGTGGGCACACCTTTAATCCCAGTACAAGGGAGGTAGAGACAAGCCAACTTTGTGAGTTCAAGGCCAGACTTGTCTCAATTTTTCTAAATGGCTTTCTCTTAGGTGTGTATTCCTTCAGTGAACTGTAAGTGACGTGATGGAAGTCTTCAGATGAACACCCATTGTATCACTGGGATAAAACATCTCAAGTGAACATACATTGTCCTCTGATCTAAACGGTTCTTCCCCCTGCGGTGATAGGATGGTTTTTGTGCTGAGTTTTAGGAGTTTGTAGGGCCAGATGTGGCTTGACTGTTTACAAGTACTTGGCATTATCAAATATTTGCCACATGAACTGTGAGGTTCTGCTTTGTTGCCAGTACAAGGTTTTACCTGTGTACTATACTAGCTTGGAGTGGATGGGCATGTATCTTTCAACTTAGAAACTTCTTGTTGAGCCTTCACTATATAGTCCTGAGGTTCCTTAGCTTAGTGCTGGGCTCTTCACTTGTGAAAAAGAATATTTTACTACTTTTTTTATTAGAATATAATTACATAATTTACATTTCTGTCATATAAACCCCCCTCCTTTTTTTTGAGACGGTTTCTCTACGCAGCTTTGTGCCTTTCCTGGAACTCATTCTGTAGCCCAGGCTGGCTTCGAACTCAGAGATCCCCCTGGCTCTGCCTCCCAAGTGCTGGGATTAAAGGCATGCACCACCGCCGCCCGGCAACCCTCCCCTTAAATTATCAAATTTATGGCTTATTATTGTAATATGTTTGTTCATAAATAAAATCTGCTTAGTCTATAAGTTACTTGTATGAATATATAATATATAATTTCAGCATCGACCACTTTGGTACTAGAGATCAGTTAGAGAACTTCATAGGGAAGACTTTACCATTTTCGGTATTCCTTAGTTGGGGCCCCATGAATTTCTCCCTTCCATGTCTGTTGGCTTCCATGTTGAAGTCTTGTTTAGGCAGCCGGGTTGCTGAGACTTAATGGATGGAGCTTCCCTAACATTTTAAGGAGACAGTCTCAGTCTTCCTGTTCCTCGGCTCTTAGCAATATTTATGCCCCCCTCTTCAGTCTTCTGAAGCCTGAAGTGCAGGGGTTGATGAGTTGGGGTGGGGCATTACAAGATAACCTGCTTTGAATTTTGATGGTTTGTGATTTTCTGTGGGGAAAGGATAAATAGAATGTGGTGCTTGTAACTGATTAGCTGTCTCCAGCTGGCCTGGATCTCAACCCTAAATACTGGAGTTACAGTATGTTTTACTGCCTGCTTCACGTTTGTTTCTGTTGGTATGGAGGTGGTAGCGGGGATCTAACTCAGGCCCCACATATGCTTATAACAAGTTGAGCTACACTTAACCACTGCCCAGTAGAGATTTTAAATCTAATTTTTGAGATTTTGGTATAAGGTGTTTTGGTCCTGTTTGCCACACACACACACCTTCTCAGATCCACCCCCTTCCCTTCCAACTCAACTTTGTGTCCTGGGGTCTGAGTTTTAACTTTATTTTACACAACCCCCCACCCTCCCATCCCCCGGGGTTTCTCTGTAGCCCTGGCTATCCTGGAACTCCCTCTGTAGACCAGCCTGGCCTTGAAATCACAGAGATCCACCTGCCTCCACCTTTTGAGTGCTGAGGTTAAAGGGGTGCACTTTAGACAGAAACTAATACGTTGATAACTGGACAAGCATGGTGTGATCAACTTGGGGAATAGCTATGAAGGACTATCCAGCCCTTCAAAGAGCTGCTGTATTTGTTCAGCAAGGAAGTATACCTTAAGTGACCATGAAAAACATACAAGTCAATCATTTATATAGGTCCAGCAGTTTCTTCATTCCTTGACTTCAAGGCTCAATTGTAGCCTGTCAAGTCAGACACCCAATTCTCAATGATTTCCAATTTCAACCATACCCTCCATCCTGCAAACAATCTTGCCATGTACTCTGTCCAGGTACTTACTGTGTATCCCAGGCTGGTCTTGAACTCATTGCAATCTTCTTGCCTCAGCCTCACCAGTTCTCGGATTGCAGGCTTCCTCCCTTCTTTCTGCTGGGAATCTCAGTGGTAGCTGAATGGAGTTCCAATGCAAGGAATTGAAAGATCGTGGGTGTGGCCATGGGAACTTTGGGGGCCATGTGCCAGCTCTGCCTCATTGAGGCATTCATTTCTTCACTAAGCCAGAGATATGGACCTTAGGGCCGATGAACAAAGGTCTAATAGGGACTGGGGATGAAGTTCCCTAGCTGAGAGACCCTAGACTTGTTCCCAGCACTGCAAGAGAGGATTTTTTTTTTTCAGTACAGTACTGCAAAGAGACTAATTCCACGTCATTCTCACTCAGCACTTGGAATGTGGAGGCTGGAGATTGGGAGTTCAAGACCAGTTCTGAGCTTCATCAGATCCACTCTCAAAAAATTAAAGGCGGAGGGGAGAGCAGAAGCTAGAGAGACCCAGGTTCAATTCTCAGCACCCACATCAAGTGGCTCACAACCGCCGGTAACTCCAGTTCTGGAGGGAATCTGATGCCTCCTGGCCTCTGCAGCCACCTACAATCAGCCGGTTCACACATCCCATTCTGCAGGGCATGCTCATCTTCCAAACCCAGACTTGGAGTGTAGTAGCAGGAGGGACAATAACAGCACCCAGGCAGGACTACTATTGACATCTGTTTAGGCCAGAGCTTCTCTCCCTCCGGGCCACTCTTAGTTTGAGTTAAATTATTCCCGGATTACCGCGCCTGGCTCGGTGCTGGGTCGATCCCAGGGAATTATACTTGCTAGGTAAGCGCTCTACCACTAAGCTACATCTCCAAAGGTTTCGAATGGACCGCGTGTGTCGGTGAGAGTTTAGGGGAATCGAATCTATTATTTCCAGGGAAACGTGAGAAAAGAACTCAGCGCAGTAACCACGGCAACCCGATGCAGGGAGCGGCAGAAGGTGGGGCTTTAGGGCGGAAGGGGCGGGACGAAATGGGCACTTCCGGGTGTCAATTTCGTGGCGGGAATAAACGCTCGGATGTTCCGGTAGAGCTCAGACTTATGGCCTCTGCAATGGAGCCGCCGGGGGCTGCGGCCGGGGTTGAGGACTGCGGAGCGGTGAGGGGTGTGCCACAGGCCGCGGAGGACAACGTGGAGGACCGCATCCGCCTGCTGCTCAGGTGCTCCCGCCCGGCATCCCGCTCGGCATCTCCTCCTTGCTCAGGAGGCCCAGGGCTCAAACTCAGACTCACTGGCTGACTCTTATGGCTATTAGTTTAACCGCTGTAAGCTCGACAGTCGGGGAAGGGGGCAGCAAAGGCTACCCTACGTGCAGAGCCGCTGGGGGCGAGGGGTTAGGTGAGACATTCGGAGGAAATGCTTAGCGCCGTGCTCCGTCCTTAGCTAGGCTTCGAACCTGTCCTATTTTGCCACTGTGGTCCCGGCTGGTTGAGCCATACATCCAAGCCAAGCTACAGGAAGGGGCGGGGGCAGTTTTTTCTTTTGGTTTTTCGAGACAGGGTTTCTCTGTGTAGCCCTGGCTGTCCTGGAACTCACTCCGTAGCCCAGGCTGGCCTCCAACACACAGATTCCCCTGTCTCTGCCTCCTGAGTGCTGGGATTAAGGCGTGTGCCACCACCACCCGGCCCAACCCACCTTTTATGGCTAAGACCCTTTACATCCAGAAGCTTCGGTTGTTTACCGTTCTACTCGGCTGGTGTTTAATATGCTCTCCACTCAGCAGTTTCTAGGGGAAATTTGATGTCAAGGAGCTGACTCAGCCTAAGGTGGACCAAATCCACTCTGCTGCTCTTCTAAGAAAAGCTGTCTTTTGGTACTGGAGATGGGACCCAGGGTCTGGTGTATTCGTAGCATGTGCTGTACCACTGGGCTTCAGCGTAGTTCTTCCATGTTTAAATAAGGATGGGAGCCAAAAATATTTCATAACACATGAAATCCAAATGTAATGCTCATAAAGTTTTATTGGAACACAGTTTTCTGCTACAGGGGCAGAATAAGTAGTTAAAACAGACTGTATGGCTCCCAGATCCTAAGTTATTTGCTATCTGGTTCTTTACAGGAAAAAAAATAATAAAGTGTTTTGCAGACTTTAAAAGTCATAACAAAGAGACTTGTTGGAATTTTTGAGACAGATTCTTGCTGTGTAGCACTGGCAAGCTATAACTATATATACCAGGCTAACCTTGAATTTGGAGTAATCCTCCTGCCTCTGCCTTCAGGGTGATAGAATTATAGGCATTAGCTACCATGCCTAGCCATACAAAGGCCCATCTGTTGTTTTTAACAAAATCTCAATTGTCTGATTTTACCAATAAAGACTTGGGAGCCAGATGCTGGGGTGAAAGCCTGCTAGCTCAGAGAGGTGGAAAAAGCACCCAGCTGACCTTCCTCCTCATCGGAGGTCCCAGAAACCTTCACTTTCTCCTATGCAGCCTCAAACAAGACTCCCCAAACTGAATGTCCCTCCCTTCTCTTCCTATGTGTCTCTCTATCCGTCCTCCCGACTCCCTCTTACTCTCTATGTTTTTTTTTTCCTAGGTTCACCTCCTGGTTGGCTTTATTTAATCCTTTTTACAATATTCAAGTAGAAAGCTCTTGGATTAATGATGTGTGCTAGGGCTGAGCCACATCACAGCTAGAAACGGGTTTTTCCAGTCAATAATGCAATCTTTGGGTTCATAGTGTGATCAAATATCCTGCATCATCTGTCAGATTGTCTATCTGTCTGTCTGCCTATAACCATGACAACTTCTTCCCATTTCAGCTGAAGAAACTTTTTTGAGTGTATCTAGACAACACTTCTACTTTCATCTATAATAACTCGTCGAAGGTGGGATTGTTTTTGGCAGTAGTAATGATTGAACCTAGGGCCTGAAGCCTGTTAGGCAAGCACTCTAAGACTGAGCTACATCATCAGTCCTTTTGACTTTTTATTTTGAGATTGATAAGTTGCCAAGACTGGTCTGAAACCCGCAGGCCTGCACTGGCTCTGTCCTCCTCCCTTAGCCCCCCAGGTCACTGGGATGACTAGCCTGATTCCCGGTGTGAATTTGTTTTCATGTGGAACTTTGTCACTTAAAGAACTTGCTGTAGTGTAAGCTTTCATCATCTGTCAGATGTTTCTTAGGTGTTGAGTCGGGTCTTTGAAGACCGTTTCAGGGCTGTACAGCTGGCCCTGAAAGCATGCGTTTCCATTCTCAGCTTTTTAAGATGTATTTTCAAAACTGGGGGTGGTGGCACATGCCTTTAATCCTAACATTTGGGAGGCAGAGGCAGGCTGATCTCTAAGTTCGAGGCCAGCCTGGTCTACAGAGTGAGTTCCGGGACAGCCAGGGCTACACAGAGAAACCTGTCTCTTAGGAAAAAAAAAGAAAGAAAGAAAGAAAGAGAAAAGGAAAAAGAAAAAAGAAAAAATTTTTCATTATTTTTAGTTAGGGGTGTGTGCGTGTGTCTGTCTGTCTGTGTGTTATACATGTAAATGCATGCCCTTGGAGGTCAGAAGTGGCAAATTCCTCCTGGAGTTGGATTTGCAGCTGATGATGAACAGCTGGTGTTGGTGATGGGAACCAAACTTATGTTATCTTACAAGAGCAGTACCCACTTAATGGCAGAGCCATCTTTCCAGCCCCTCCTGAAAATATTACAGTCTGTATGTAACACTAATAGAGTTTGGAGGTGTCATCACTTTTGGTTACCTACTTATAGCAGTTTTCATTAAGTACATTTTGGTCTGGCCTATTAATGTAAGAATTACATTTTTAACTTTTTTCTCCAACATGCCCTTTTCCCACTCTATTCCATTTTATAAGGCTAAAGGCGAAGATGTCAATGTCAAGTTTCATGTATTGCATGTATTGCATGATGATTGTAACCGCCATCCATGAACACTTTCCTGTCTGCCCTGTGTTTCAATTTGCAGGCTGAGGGCACAGACTAAACAACAACTCTTAGAATACAAGTCGATGATTGATGCAAGTAAGTAGTTTCATTTTCAAGTAAGTTTTTTTAGTTTGCTGATGAGTGCTATTGGTTTTAAAAATTATTTATTTTTATTACATGTGCATCTGTTTTGCCTGCTGTATATCTATACCATAAAGCTAAAGAGGGTATTGGGTTCCCTGGAACTGGAGTTGCAGAGGTTGTGAGCCACCATCTGGGCAGTGGGAAATTGAACCCAGATCCTCTACAAGAGCAGCCAGTGCTTTTAAACGCTGAGCTGTCTCCAGGCTCCAGACGAGAGGTATTCTTGGGAAGAAAATCAGCTTTACAAAAAGTTGTTTTTCACAGGCATGGTGACTCATGCCTTTAATTCCAGCATTCAAGAGGTAGAGAGAGTCGGATCTCTGTAAGTTTGAGGCCAGCCTAATTTCCACATTGAGTTCTGGGCTAGCCCGAGCTACACCGAGAGATGCTGTCTCAAGAGAAAAACAAGTTGTTTGTGTACATTCTGTGTAGCAAACCAGGTAAACAAACATGCAAAATACTTATGAAATAGAGGCAGAGGAGGTAGGTGGGGGGTTGCAGCAAGATGCCTCAGCCAATTAAAGTGCTTGCCAAATAAGCTGACACCTGGGTTCAATGCCTAGAACCCATGTGGTGGAGGGGAGAACTGACTGACAAGATGTTCTCTGACTATCATGTGTTCCCTCATATGCACACACACACACATTAAATATTTATTTAAATAAAATTGTTGCTGACTTAGAAAACTTTTTACTTGTAGATGAAGAAAAAACTCCAGAACAGATCATGCAAGAAAAACAAATGGAATTGTACGTCATATTTTAATATTTTATCTGTGGCTTTTACTAAGATTTGGTCATACGGTGCATTTTACAATGCTGTCTTTCTTTTCCTTTATGATTCCAAATGAATAAGTCATGCCTTTGTTGGGAGGTTGTTGATTTGCAGTGGGGTCTTTGGTGCTGGGGGGTGGTTGTTTCTCTGCTGTCTGGCATTCCCCCGACACTGTCTAGATCTCGCTTAGTGAAGAAAGTCAGCCATCAGCCTGTAGTTTTCTTCTGTTCAAATAGAGATGTTCAACCTTTTTCCCAACTTTTAAATTCGTGTTTACTTAATCCGAGTTTCAGTAACAAATTTGACTGACATTCTTTGGTTCATGTTTCTTTAACAGTAAAATTGAAGACCTGGAAAATGAAATTGAAGATGTAAAAAGTAATTTTGAAATGAAAAATCTTGCACTAAACAGGTAACTTTTACCTTAATACTACTAAGAATTGTGAACTAAATGCAAAAATGAGCATGGAGAGACGTTTGAAGGGATTTTTTAACTGAGCTGAATCAAATGATGATTAGAAGACAGCCATAGCCTGTGATCCCAGCACTCAAGAGGCTGAATGAAGTTGGAGGGCCATGAGTTCAAAGCCAACCTTGGCTACACAGGGAGATCCTATCTTTAAGTGGAGGGTGGAAGGGGAGGGGAATCTGGGAGTGGTTGGAAGTGCATATCTTTAATCCCAGCACTCTGAATGCAGGGGCAGGTGAATCCTTTTGAGTTCAAGGTCAGCTTTGTCTACATAGCAAGTTCCAGGACAGCCATGACTAAGTAGTGAGACCCTATCTCCAAAAAAAGGAAGGGCACAGGAAGAGAAGAGGAAGGGACAAAAAAAGATGATTAGGTAATGTTACAGAAACTTCTAACCCTGAGAGAAGATTTACATTATTCATTAGTATCTTCCTTTGAAGAAGGTATGTAGGATAGGGATGATAAGGAGTCTTCATGGAGTTAGTGGAGAATTTCAAACACATTGGTGTTTAAAAGTGCTACTTAGATCCATTTATTTCAGTAACTGTTAATACATAGACTTGTCATAAAGTTGTTTTGAGACAAGGTCTCACTCTATAGCCCAGGCTAGCCTGGAAATTGGTATGCAGTTCAAATTGACCTAAAACTTATAGAAGTCCTCCTGCCTCAGCCGTCCACATTCTGGGATGACTGGAGAGGGCCACTTCCCTTGTTATAAAGTTTAAATATACTTTAATTACTGGTTTTGCATTTGGGGTTTTCATTTTTTTTTAGGTTTGGATTATTTTGTGTTGTGTTGTATTTAGAGATAAGTGCCTGGGCCTGGAATTCATAAAACCTCCTTTCTCCTGCTGAGTTCTGGGATAGGCATATTGATTGTGTCTAGCTCTATATTGGTATTTTTAAGTATATTTGAATAGGGGTTTGAATATAAATATAATATCATAAGCTCTGTGCTAAGTACAGTATCCATGCACTGTGTAGGAATTTTCTGTCAGTGACAAGACTGCATATATGAAAGTAATTCCCTAAAATTCTGTTACCTAGTGATGCTGTGGCCGCTTTGTGTACCTTCTATTATATTCTTATAGTGATCAGATTGCAAATGACGCATGTCTTAGCATGTCTCCCTATGGTGATATATATTAATAGACAAACATGACCACTTACAGGCTTGTGATTTAATAATTGAAAATGAATGACTCTTATAACTACTACTTTGTAGTTTTGACCTTTCCAAATGACTTTAAGTTCTAAAGGGGCTTGCTGACGAGTCTGATGACCTGAGCTTGACCCCTAGAACCAGCATGGGTGGACAGAGAGCATCAGCTCCTACAGGTTGTTCTCTGACCTTCACCTGTGTGCCCTGACATGTCACACACACACACACACACACACACACACACACACACACACACACACACAGAAATACATAAAAAAAGTAATTCAAGCTATTTTAACTAGTTATATAGAGAGGGAAGGAAGAAATAACTCTGCTACCAGTGCACTTAGTTGCCCGTTCTCTCACCCAGTTCAAGTTTGCCTCCAACTCTAGGTCCTCCCGTCTCCTGAATGGTAGGGACGATAGGCAGATATCCACTATGCCTAGCTGTGTGCCCTTTGTGTGTGTGTGGTGGTGGAGATGAAGTCCAGTGTCTTGCATAGCTCACTCTGCAAGCTTAAAGTGGCGTGCTTTGACATTCACAGTCAAGCTGGTATGGGGGTGCACGTGCATGGAGAGGCAGGAGGGTCAGAAGTTCAAGGTCATCCTCAGCTGAAAAAAAGTTTGAGGCCAGTCTAGGCTACATGAGACCTCGTGTCAGATGGGGAAAAGGGTGTAACATTTCCTGCCATACCCCTTGCATCTCCTCAGCAGGCCCATGCTGATGTCCACAAGGCTTGGCTGCTCTTTCTTATTTCCATGACTTAATTCTTTACTTTAGAATATTCCCTGGGGTTGGAGTGATGGCTCAGTGGTTAAAAGCACATGCCCTTCTTGCGGAGGACTTGCATTCAGTTCCTAGCAGGACCTGAGTTCAATTCCCAGCACCCATATCTGGCAGCTCACAGCTGCCTGTAACTCCTGCTCTAGGCAGTCTGGCACCCTCTGTCCTCTTTACTCGTGTGCAAACATATACATGTATCCTTAAATAAATGATAATAAAAATATTTCTTAAAAAAGAATATTTCCTGTGCAATGCTGTTCTAAAACATACTGTTTTGTGTATATTTGAAGGGAAATCAATCTTGTTATTCTAAAAAATTTTAATGCCTTATAAATGTTACTTGTTCTGTATAATACAAGCTTTTTCTCTAAGATGTCATTTTGTTTTTTTGTTATTTAATGTTTTCTTTTTCTTGTTTTTTTAGGATGAAACTTTCAGCTGCACTTAAAAATAACATGGAAAAGGTGGGCGTTGAGAGTAGGTATGACTTTTTACTTTTTCCAGGATTTGGAAAGAATGGGGACAATAAGGGAGGTATGCAAATGATTTTAGATTGTGACTTTAAAAAAATGTGCATGAGCCAGTTGTGGTGGTACATAGCTTTAATCCCAGCACTGGGAGGCAGAGGCAGGAGGACCTCTGTGAGTTTGAGGCCAGTCTAGTCTATTGAGTGAGATCCAGGACAACCAGGGCTATGTAGAGAGAGACCCTGTCTCAAAAAACTTAGACAAATAAACGTGTGTGCGTATGTGTGTGTGTGAGGACAACTTGAAGGAGTCACTCAGTTTTCTCTTGACATATGGGCCCCGGGAATTGAACTCAGGTCCTCCAGTAACAACTTAATGAAACAGGACAGTCCTTGTTTTTCACTGGTAGAAATGAGCGTGTTTTACCTGCCTGGGATACAGGGTGAGTTTAATGAGACCCTGTCTCAAAAAGTTTTTTAAAAAAAAAGGAAGGTCTGGGATGCAGCTTAGCCGTAGATCACCTAGCTAGCACGTATGACACCAAGTTCAGTCGCAGTGCTGAAAAGGTGGGAGGGACAGAAGAGGGAAGGAAATTAGATGCTGGTTCTGGTTAGAGTTTGTTAAGAAGTGTAAATAAAAGTCCTAGAAATCCTAAGAGTCTCCCCTCAGGCCACATCTTCGATCTTTCTTCCCAAGGCTCTCAAAATCTTATGATCTAATATACCCTCCCATGAGCACCAGAGCTCTGGGATGGATCTGGACACCTCTCCCGTCTGGATGTCTTCATTCAGGCCGATTTGTAACCTCTTGATATTCCTGCTGACTCAGATTACAGATCCTAAACTCTGAGGTTTCAGAGCCAGATGTGGAGACACACGCCTTAAGCTCAGCTCTTAGGAGGCAGAGGTTGGCAGATCTCTGTGATTTTGAGGCTAGTCTTGACTCTCGTGAAACCCTGTCTCAAAAAAAATTTTTTAAAACATTTATTTATTCACCTTGTGTGGGGATGAGTGGGTATGACCCCCCCCTTGGAAATCAGAGGACAACTTGCCAGAGTCACATCTCTCCACCGTTGGTGTCTAGGGATCAGACTTGGCTCATTAGGCTTGGCAACAGGCACCCTTACTTACTCAGCCCTCTCACAAAGCCTTAAAACACTTTTGTAGTGAAGCTGGAGAGATGGCTCAGCAGTTAGATCTAGCCGCTCTTCCAGAGGACCCCGGTTCAATTCCCAGCACCCACATGACAGCTTACAGCCATCTGTAACTCCAGTTCTAGGGAATCCAATGCCATTTTCTGGCCTCTGAGGGCACTAATGCACATTTGATGCACGCACATACATCAGGTGAAACACCCATACACATAAAATAATTTTAAAAACAAAACAGTTTTATGTTACAGGAGCAAAGTGCAAGTTAGACTCACCATACCTACCGGATACCTCATGAAAACAAAGTTCAAATAGACCAAGCAGTGTCTGTAGCATGTTTTGGAGTTTACAGCTGTTAACAGTCACTTGAATAGGGCCATTTTTAGTGTGGACATCTCTCGCTCCTGGGTTGTGGCACCTTAGATTATTGTGTGAGCAAGCTGGAGCCCAGTGTAAACAGTAAAACCACTTGGCCGGTCAAAAACCACCGGCAAGCCCTTAATTAGACACTCTCATCTCACCATTAGCCAGCCAAATGTTTCTTTACTTGGCTTCAGTAAATACGTTACAGAAGTCCCTCCTCTGTCCCCTGGCTCTAGGAAACCACTCAACCGCTGGACCCTGGGGTGCCCCAAGCCCAGGTCCAGGCTGCTCAAATAGCTCATTTTTTTATTGTTGTTTTGGGTTTGGTTTTCTTGTGTTCTTTCTTTGATTTTGAGATAAGGCCTTTCCATGTAGCCCAGGCTGGCCTTGAATTAATTATGTGGTACAGGCTGGCTTCAAACTCAAATCCTGCCTTACCCTCCTGAGTCCAGGAATTGCTGGCTTTGGCCGCTATACCCCATTTATGCAGTCAGGGATTAAATCTAGACCATGGTTTGTTCAAATGTGTTCATTCTAGGCAGGCAGTCTGCCAACCAAGCTACATTCCCAGCCCCAAGGTTTACTTTTATTACTTGATATGGATAAGTGTTTGTGGGTGTGTGTGTATGTGCACCACATGTATGCAGTGCCTGCAGAGGCCAGAAGAGGGCATCAGATCCCTGGAACTGAAGGTGCAACTGGACTGTTGTGTGAGCTATCATGTGGTAGCTGGGAACCCAAACTGGGTCTTCGGCAAGAGCAGTAAGTGCGCTTAACCCCTGACCTACCTCTTCAGCCCTGAGATTTATTCGTTTTAGCTGAAGTAAATAAGTCATATTTTTGTTCCCTTTGCAGTGTGCTCGCTGATGACCTGAAGCACATATTAAAGCTGCAGAAGTTGATAATGAAGTCACAGGAGGTAAGCTGGCACGTGGGGTGCTTGCGTGTTTCATAATTTTGATGACATCTTGCTGCTAACTGTATGACACAAGATTGAGACGTTCAGTGGGACTATGTGTCTACAGATCGCTTTCCTTAGGTTGTTTTATCATAGAGCTTACTTGTTACTGATGTTGCAAATTATCAATATAATTTAAGTGACTATTTCCTTCCTCTGGCTTTGTGGAAATAGGGGAATTGAAAATCTCAGCTTCAGGACAAGTATTAATGCATACGCCTCTGATCCTAGCACTGAGGAGGCAGAGACCGGGATCAGTTCAGTCTTTCTTGAGTCCATAGTGAGTTGAGGCTAACCTGGGCTATTTGAGAGATAGCTGGGTGTAGTGGGACATGCCTTTGCCTAATCCCAGCATGCAGAGTAAGTTCAAGGCCAGCTATATAGGAGATTTGTTTCAAAATAAAGCACAAACAAAAATAAAGATTAAAAAAAGGGGGAAATTGGAGCTTAAGAAAATCAGACTATGTGAAACTCAGTGATGTATTATCAATTTATCATTGAGTGACATGCTTTAATTTCATTTTGATAAACAGGAGTCTTCGGAATTAGAGGCAAAGCTGCTTGATGTTAGGAAGAAGAGACTTCGTATGTAGACTATGTTTAAAATTTTCTTGCAGTTGTGTGTGTGAGTGTGTCTGTGTGTCTGTGTATGTGTGTATGCAAACACATGCACATCCCCTGAGACGCTCCCGTGGAGGTCAGTGACAACCCTTAAGAGTCTTTCCTTCTGCCACGTCAGGTCTCAGGTTGGGAGCAAGGACCCTTACTCACTGGTCTGTCTCACTAGCCCTTGGTTTTGGTTTTCCAGACAGGTTTTCTCTGTGTAGTCCTGGCTTTCCTAGAACTCTGTCTGTAGACCAGGCGGGCCTTGAACTCACAGAGCTCTGCCTCTGCCTCTGAGTGCTGGGATTAAAGGTGCGCACTACTGCCACCTGGCCTCACTGGCCCTTTTAATTATTTAATTACTTATGGAACACATTTTTATCTACTTTAGCTTTTAACAGGGACAGATTTCTCAGCAGCTGATAAATTTAATTTTCCAAATTTCTGAACGTGGCAGTTAAGGAAATTGGGTGTGAGATGCATTTTGCTTAGGTTTTGTTGTTTTAGAGCTTTAAACCACAGTCAGCTGTGGTGGCACATGCCATAAAGCCAGCACTCTGAAAGCTTAGACACAGGGATCAGGAAGTCAGGTCATGTTCTACTTTATAGTGAGTTCAAGGCCAGCCAGGATTACATGAGAGCCTGTCTCAAAATAAAAAAAAAATTAAAAAATAATTACAATATGAGTACATTCTCTCAGTGAAGAATCAAATGATAGAGAAAATATAGTAAGAAGTCATGCCCCTCTCTTTGCGACTTCAGTTTCGTGTATGTCATTGTAGAGTCTTTCCATAGGAACATGTTTACAGTGTGCATAATTTCTCAGTTATCATTGTAGATGCTTCCACGGTCTTAGCACCTAATTTATTACAATGTAATTGTACTAGCACTCGAAAGGACAGAGGTTCGCCACTTGTTCAAAACTCAGCCTGAGGGCTGGAGAGATGGCTCAGCGGTTAAGAGCACTGGCTGCTCTTCCAGAGGTCCTGAGTTCAATTCCCAGCAACCACATGGTGGCTCACAACCATCTATAATGAGATCCGGTGCCTTCTTCTGGCCTGCAAGCATGCATGTAGGCAGAACACTGTATCCATAATAAATAAATAAATCTTTTTAAAAAAAAAAAAAAAACCAGCCTGAGCTACATAGTGTACAGCAGGCTAGACAGGAATTTATAGCAAGACTTTTTAAAAATATATATATTTAAATATATGTATGTATGTATATGAATCTTATGGCATAAGATTCCTTTTAGTTGAAACTATTGAAATATATATTTCTTTTGTTTGTTTGTTTCTCGAGACAGGGTTTCTCTGTGTAGTTTTGGTGCCTGTCCTGGATCTTGCTCTATAGATCAGGCTGTCCTCGAACTCACAGAGGTCTGCCTGGCTCTGCCTCCTGAGTGCTGGGATTAAAGGCATGCACCACCACCACCCGGCCTTGTTTTTGTTTTTATGTCCAGACTGCAGTTTCCCCTCCCTTTTCTCCTCCCCCATTCACTCCTGGGTTTCTCTTCAGAAAGGGCAGGCCAGCATGGTATATCATGTTGCAATGAGACTAGGCACCTCCTCTCCTGTTGAGGCTGGATGAGGCAACCTAGTAGGAGGAAAGGGTCCTAGAAGGAGATAACAGAGTCAGAGGCAGCCCCCTGCTCCCACTGTTCGGGGTCCCACAAGAAGACCACGTTACACAGCTGTAACATATATGCAGAGGGCCTAGGTCCGTCCCATGCAGGCTCCCTGGTTGTCGGTTCAGTCTCTGTGAGCCCCTGTGAGCCCAGGTTAGTTGATTCTCAGGTTTTCTTGTGTCCTTGATCCCTCTGGCCCCTACAATCCTTCCTCCTAGGGCAGGGATTTTTGTTCATTGGTGTGGAGGTCTCAGGCAGACTCTAGACTGGGATTACATGTATAGGCTGTCTCATTGGTTACTTGTTTATTAAGTTGTCCTATGGGTCATGGGAACACATGCCTTTAAGTAGGTAACTCTACATAGTGAGTTTCAGGCCAGCCAGGACTATAGAGAGAGACCCTGTCTTTAAAACAAAACAAAACATGCTGGGCAATGGTGGCACACGACTTTACTCCCATCTTTCGGGAGGCAGAGACAGTCGGATCTCTGTGAGTTTGAGGCCGGCCTGGTCTACAAAGTGAGTTCCAGGACAGCCAGGACTGTTAGACAGAGAAACCTTGTCTCAAAAAACCAAAAATAACCAAAACATGCCAGGTGGTGGTGGCACACACCTTCAATCCCAGCACAGTGAGGCAGAGGCAGGCCATATAATATTGTTTTATGTTTAACCTAACAGAATTAAAACAAACTTCAAGAAGCAAGCTTTTAGAAATACAAACCGAGAAGAGCAAACAGAAGGAGGATCTGGACAGTATGGAAAATTCGGAAATAATCAAGACCATGCAAAAGAAGCTGCAGACGGAGATAAAGATTACCACAGTTATTCAACATGTGTTCCAGGTAACAGTTATATAAATTAGGAACAGAGGTAGCTGGACATGGGGCACACACCTGTAATCTGAACACTTGGGAGAGAAGAGCAGGAGGATCAGGAATTCAAGGCCATGACTCAAAAAAACAGAAACGGGCTGGAGAGTTGGTTCCTTAGATAGGAACACAGGCTGCTCCTCCAGAGGACTCAGGTTCAGTTCATAACTCTGTGTAACTCTAGTCCCAAGGGATCTGATCTCCTCTTCTGGCCTCAATAGCCCTGATGAGCAGATAGGCATGTAGATTTAAAAAAAAAAAAAATCCATACATATAGAAACAAAAGGTGTTTTTTTGTTTGTTTGTTTTTGTTTGTTTGTTTTTTGGGTTTTTTTTTTTTTTTTTTTTTTTTGGTTTTTTGAGACAGGGTTTCTCTGTGTATCAGTGGCTGTCCTGAAACTCACTCTGTAGACCAGGTTGGCCTCGAACTCACAGAGATACACCTGCCTCTGCCTCCCAAGTACTAGGATTAAAGGTATGTGTCCCTACCACCTGTCAAGAATGTCCCTTCTATAGGCCAAAATTCTTAATATTTTTGTACATAACATAACACTTTCTAAAATCCATCTAAACATTATTGCAATCAATAATTTACTATCATAGAGCCATTGTTTATCAAAGGGTAATGACCAGAATTCTCATTAATTATGATCCTAATCATTTCTTCATTGTCTACTCATTGTCTGCCATAAAAATGTTTTTTACTGTTCTTAAAGGTTTGAAACATTGATGAACTAAACTTTTTTTTTCCTCTTTTGAAAATAAAATGTATTGGTTATAGTTCCTGTTTCACCAGAGAGGGACGAGAGTGCACACGGACAGTGCAAAGTTAGCCTGACCCCAGGCGACGGTACTTTCCCTGTAGTCTGGGGAGCTCTGCAAGTGTTCTTTTTTTTTTTTTTCTTTTGAGACAGGGTTTCTCTGTAGCTTTGGAGCCTGTCCTGGAACTCACTCTGTAGACCAGGCTGGCCTCGAACTCACAGAGATCCACCTGCCTCTGCCTCCTGAGTGCTGGGATTACAGGCATGCGCCGCCACCGCCTGACTGCAAGTGTTCTTAATGAGTAAAAGCTATCCAGGGAACCCACAGGTGAACACTGGAATACATACCATCCAGTGTCATGCAAGGTGAGGATGCCACTGTTGCAGGGGAAAACTGAGGGTGTGGTACTGTTTTTCCTCCTGATCATAGTGCTGCATACCACTAGATGCTCAGTATACATTAGATGAGATAGTCCAAGGACACTGGGATATCTCTCAGTTGATAGAGTGTTCACCTGGCAGCCACAAAGCCCTGGGTTTGGTCCCCAGCCCATGCGACCTGGACATATTGGCAGAGACTTATAATCCCAGCACTGAGTGAGTGGAGGAAGGAGGGCCAGAAGTTCAAGGTCATCCTCAGCTGTATAGTTGATGCATAGTAAGTTCGGTGCCAACCTGGGCTACATGGAACCTGTCCGGGGGGGAAAAAATCAGGAAAGATTTGTTAAAATCTTGTTAAATTAAGTACTTAATTTTCTTTTAATTGCAGGGCCTTATTTTGGGGAGTAAAATCAACTGGGCAGAGGATCCTGCCCTCAGGGAAATCGTGTTGCAGCTGGAGAAGAATCTCACCACCATCTAATAAGAATCCTGCTTTGGCATTTGAACATTGTTTTTGTGCCCAGTCTGTCATTTAAATAGCGGAGTTCGTGGGAAATGTAAGAAGTGGTTTTGGAACTGTTCTGATGCTTCAGTTCTGAGGGCTTGAGTTGATGATATGACATGAAATCTTTTATTTTTAATATGATCACTAAAGAAACTGGCATACTCTGCAGGAGTCTGAACACTGTAGTCTTGGAAAGAAGGCATCTGTCTGGTCCAACTATCACAGAATGTGACATCTTCACAACCATTTTCCCGGTAGTGCCTTTCAGGATGTATCTGTGCATTGGTTTGTCAACCAGCACATTAGAAAAGCATCCACAGTGTAAAGGGTCGTTGATTGTTTAAGTAAGGTTGTGGGTTGTGACTTTTTCTTTTTTTCCCCTTCTCTATTTAGCAAGCATTTTATTTTTATAAGTTAATGAATAAAAAGAATCAGTGTTACTATCTTATTAATTAAAAAAGAAAATTTACAGTGGTTGAGATCTCTGGCTGCTCTTGTTGCAGGGGACCGAGATTCAGTTCCCAGCACCCACATGGCTGCTCACAACCCTCTGCAAGATGTCAGGGACTCTGACATCATCTTCTGGCCCCAGCCAGGTACCAGGCATACATGTGGAGCATGTATATACATGCAGGCAACACACACATACATATAAAAAACAAATCTTTAAAAGAATTAAAACTGGACATCTTATAGACTCCGTGTTTTGTTTTTGGATAACTCTTGAATATTTGGAGGTTGTGCTGGTCAGTGTTAATTATCTGCCTGACAAAATCTACAGTCATCTGGGAGATGGGTCCGTGGCACGTCTGTTGGGGATTGTCTTGACTGCCTTAATTACACTGAGAAGACCTGCCCGCTGTGGGTGGCCCCATTTACTGCCTGGGCTCCTGGGAGGTGTAAGTAGAGAAAGGGACTTGAGCAGCAGCATGCAATCACTTCGGTCTTGATGTTGGACTTGCTGCTTCAGACCCCGATGCCAGGACGTCCCCAGCATAACAAACTTTGCCCTTACTGTGACCACACCTTTTATCCCAGCACTCAGGAGGCAGAGGCAGGCAGAGCTCTGTGGACTGAGGTCAGGGGAAAGAGAGGCAGGCATGAGGACAGGAAAGGAGGTATTGCTGTTTGAATCTGAAATGATCCCGTACTCACAGTCACCAGCTTGTGACACTTTTTATGGCTGCAGTGCTTTTAGATGGTAGGTGCTGGCTGTGGCTGTAACTCAGAGGTATTGCATTTGCTTAGCATGCACAAGCCCCGGGGTTGGATCTCTAGCACTGGGTGTAGAAGGGACTCGCTAAAGGAGGCCACCAGGGGTGGGCCTCAGCCTGCTGATCTTTGCTTAGCTGCCTGTGCCAGGAGAAGCACGTGCCCGTGAGTCACATGCTTCCTGCATATCTTCCTGCTGTGACCTGTAAAACTGTGAGCCTAAGCCAATCCTTCCTTCCATCACTGCTAGCTGTTGTACACAGCAGTGAGAAAAGGAATGAGGGGGTTACTGCATCTTTACCATTTGTGCTCAGGACCTTGGAAGGGAATATTTATTTGGACTGATGGTTTCAAAGGTTTTAAACCATCCATGGTTTCGATTTGAATCTGTGGTGTGGCAGACAACATGGCGGAGAGGGCCTGGGGAGTCAGAGCTGCTGAAGAAGTAAAGCAGAACAAGTGCTCACTCCTTGTGATTCATCTTTCTCCCACTGGGTCTCACATCTTAACGGTTCCCAGCAGTTCCTCAGACCAGTGACTGGGCCTTTAATGCGTGAGCTCTGGAGGGACACTTCAGATCAGAATGTAACCCAGACTGGCCTTGAACTCACTCTAACTGAAGCTGACCCTGAATTCCTGATCCTTCTGCCTCTACCCACTGAGTGCTGCAGTTACATGTACCTGCGTATCCAATATGCAGTCATCTTTCTAAATGGAACATAAATATAGAGATGAACTCAAAAGCTAAATAAAAAAATCAATCAATTAACTAATTAATTAATTAAAAGGCATATTCAAGCCAGGCAGTTGTGGTACACACCTTTAATCCCAGCACTTGGAGGCAGAGGCAGGTAGATATTTTGAGTTCGAGGCCAGCCTGGTCCACAGAGCTAGTTCCAGGACAGCCAGGGCTACACAGAGAAGCTCTTCCTTTGGAAGAACAGCCAGTGTTCTTAACCACTAAGCTATCTATCTATAGCGCCCCCCCCCCCCCTTTTTAATCAGTGAAATTCAGCAAGTCTTGTGTCTGTAATTCCATCACTTGGAGGAAAGCTGAGGCAGGATAATTGAGAGTTGGAGGCCAGCCTGGGCTATGTAGTGAGACCTGGTATCATCAACAACAGAAAAGCAAGCTAGACTGGGTACATTATATTCCATCATACACTGAGATCTGCCAGTAGATTCATGTCACTGTCAGAGAAAGGGCATGGAACAAGACATTCAGAAAGGGGTCAAAGGCCGAGGGAGATAGGAACAGTAAGAGGAGAGAGTATAAGAGCTACAGTGAGATGGCATGTTTAAAAAACAACAAAACCATAGCCAAGGGTCAGTAATTACATCACCTGATGACAGCCAGAGGCTGGGTCCCTGGAACGGGAGATGAAGATAGGATTTGTGGACTGAGACAGTTTACTCTTTAGCTTCAGCAACTTTCGTTGGTTCCATGCTAGAGAAAACTAATCCAGAAGTATGGAGAGCCACTGGTAGTGAAAGTCCATGAGAGTATACAGCAGTGACAACTAGAGTTCAGAAGGTCAACCTAACGGAACTAAGGGTTCTGTTAGAGGAAACCAGCACACAAGGTGTTATGGAATTACTGCCTTTTGAATGAACTGGCTGTTTCTTTTTGTTTGTTTGTTTGTTTGTTTCTTGTTGTAAACTTCTTGTGTAATAACAGCTATGATTCTCCCCATTTACAGTGCATCTCTATGTTATGTGTACATGTAGTCTCACGATTGCATCTCAATCTTGGGTACAACTTTCCCTATACATTTGGGGTAATTGGACAACTGTCCCCACCTGTGTTTATTTTTCATTAACATATATCTGGCCAGGGCCATTCTCCGGACAAAAGTATTTCAGCAAAGATACCTTTTTCCCAAGGACAAAACTGCACATAGATAAACATTAGCTCATCTCACTCACAGATAGAGAAAAGAGCCACTAACAATTAAATCCTCAACCCCTTACCTTCTCCCCGGGTTATTATACAAGACCCTAATTTAAGAGATTACTGCTCACATTCCTGGGATGATGTTTTAGCCATTGCTAGATACTGAGTTAAGGCAGTTACTTCCCACTGACCCAAGGAGTTGCCTCCAGGCCAGGCAGGCAATAAGTGCCAAGCTTCTTTCTTGCGCAAATTAAGTTTTTATTCCTCCTCAGCCAGGTGCTAGTCCTAGATTTTCTCCTCAGCAATTACTGCTAGTGAAAGTGCTTTTACTAACCGAATACTACATGCTCTGACATAGGTTGCTTAGCCACCTAACATATGTCCCCCTCCCTATCAGAAAGCAGCTGCAGCGGGGATGAGCGGGAAAAGTGGCGCCAAAGACAGTTTACTTTCTTGTGACTTACTGACCCCTAACAGTCCTACCTAGCCATTTCTAGATTATAGTTTGAGCACGTAAATTCCTTAATTGATCTTAGCCTTTAGTTGACCCTACCAGAGAACTCCCCTTTAGTCACTCCCCTTTTGGGTTGTAATTGGAAGCTGACAATTAATTGCTTTATGTGTGGGTCCTTATCACCTCTCTCTGTGACCCTGAAAACTTCAAGCCTCATGCTGCTTTGCCAAAGAATTGCTGTGTGTGTATATATGTATATATACTCGCTCTCTGAGAGCACAGAGAGGATGGATGGAGAAGAACAAAGATGAGGACAGAGATGGAAAGAACTAGATAGAGATGAGAGAACAGCAGGAGGGACGGAGAGCAGGAGGGACCGAGAGCAGGAGGGACTGAGAGCAGGAGGGACCGAGAGGAGCTAAGTAAGAGTAGGAAAGAAACTGTGCGGATAGAATCACCATAGAAGAATAAAGTGAATGGACTAAAGAACTCTATGTGCATAGATTCATTGAATATCCCTCAGATTAGGATCCTCAGCTGGTTGGCAGACTTCCACGGACCCTGGGAGCAAACAATATAGGCTGGACCTATTATTGTTTGTGTTACAGAAGGGGCAGAATTCATGAAGGCACGTGAGCGCTGATACTCAGAAAGAAGCCATCAGGAGGACTAGGGAGATAGCTCAGTGGGCAAATGCTTGCTGTGGGCCTGTCTGAGGGCCTGAGTTCAGATCCCCGGAACCCACATAAAGCTGGACATGGTAGCATGCACACCTGGGATCTCAGAACTCCTACACTGAGATCAGAGGCAAAGATGAGAGAGTCCTCAGAAGCTGGGAGCCAGCTAGCCTGGTACATACAGGAGTGAACAAGAAGTCCTGTCTCGAGGTGGAAGGTAAAGACTGACTCCCAAAGTTGTCCTCTGACCTTGACACATGCTAAGGTATACGCACACCCACACTAATCATATAAACATGCACATATACATATCATACACATGTCCACACAATTTTTTTTTTTCAAATAGGAGCCAAGGGGTCAGAGAAATTGCTCAGTGGCTGCAAGCACTTACTGCTTTTTCAGAGGACCCAAGTTCAGGCTCCAGCATCAACAACATGGAAGATCACGACAGTCTGTAACTCCAGTTCCAGGGAGCCTGACTTTCTCTTGGCCCCCAAGGACACTGCATGCATATGCACACATACACACACACATAACACATAAATAAAAATAAATCATTTTTGGTGCGTGTTTGTTTTCAAAACGTGGTTTCTCTGTGTAACAGTCCTGGTTGTCCTGGATCTCACTTTGTAGACCAGGCTGGCCTCGAACCCACAGAGATCTGCCTGCGTCTGCCTCCTGAGTGCTGGGACTAAAGGGGTGTGCCACCACGTCTGGCTTAAAATAAATCTTTTTTAAAAATAAAAAACTGGCGCCTGGCGGTGGTGGTGCACGCCTTTAATCCCAGCACTCGGGAGGCAGAGGCAGGCGGATCTTTGTGAGTTCGAGGCCAGCCTGGTCTACAAAGTGAGTTCCAGGAAAGGCACAAAACTACAGAGAAACCCTGTCTCGAAAAACCAAAAAAAAAATAAATAAATAAAATAAAATAAAATAAAAAATAAATAAAAAACTGAAAAAAAAAAATAAAAATAAAAACATAGCCGGGCAGTAGTAGCGCACGCCTTTAATCCCAGCACTCAGGAGGCAGAGCCAGGCAGATCTCTGTGAGTTTGAGGCCAGCCTAGTCTATAGAACAAGATCCAGGACAGGCACCAAAGCTACACAGAGAAACTCTGTCTCAAAAAAACCAAAAAAAAAAAAAAAAAAAAAAAAAAAAAAAAAGAAAGAAAGAAAAGAAACTGAAGCTGCTGAAGCTGTTGTGACAGGTCTTTCTTTGGACCACCAGCTCTCAAACAATGACATGGAGACTTTTTATTGATTATGAAAGCTTGACCTTACCTTAGGCTTATTTCCAAATACTTCTCAAAACTTAAATTAACCCATTTATATTAATCTATGTTCTGCCAAGTGGCTCATTACCTCTCCTCAGTACCATACATCTGACTTCTTCTGTGTCTGGCAAGTGAATCTCCTGTGCCTCAGATTCTTTCCCAGAGTTCCTATCTCTCTCCAGAAGTCCTGCCTATCCTCTCCTGCCTAGCTATTGGCCATTCAGCTCTTTATTAAACCAATCAGAACGTAAGAAAGGACAGAGACATATCTTCATGCAGTGTACAAAAAGATTATCCTAACATCTCCCCCTTTTAGTCCAACAAAAGGCTTTTCACTAACATCAATAAACTATATACTATAAGAACAATTGTCAGGTAAGAATTACATTCACAATGTCCAGTTTATATTCGGCAAATTTGGTTTAAGTGCTCTATTATCTATCTTATCTTGGTGAGTCCAAAGTTTGGTACATAAATCACTTTCTATCACAACTTGTATTGCCAACCTAAAAAATCTTTTTAGACCTTAAAACATTTTCTTAGATAAACAATTTAAGCTTTTATGTCTCTCAACTTTTATAAACTTTACATATTTTTTTGTAAGTTTCTTTTCTGAATTTGGTAACAAGAAAAACTTTAAAACCGTAACTATCTAATCTTGAACCCCTGACCTGAGAAGGATGTAATATTACCTCTTCCAAACAACTTCCAAAAACTAGGAAATGACAGAGACAGCTGGCTAACTGGACAGTCGAGTCACTCAAGGTTCCTCTGCAACACTGGAGCATCCGTCTTCAGCCTACAAGCCCAGATTATCTGACAGACTTTTTTGTGAAGCAGGAATTTTGAAGGACTGTCCTTTCTTGTCTTGGCAAAGTTTAGCAGTTGACTTCCTTTGTGACCTACTTGTCCAATTTGGACAGCATACTGTCAACAGTTGAGGCAAGGGCAGTTTCTTACCCAGTGGCTAACTTTGCCACATTTAAAGCAAACTCTGTATGGGGGTTCTTTGGTGCCTATCATCTTCTTTGAAGTAGATTGGTGCTGCCAGGAGCAGATGTATCTCACTGTCATGAAAAGCATTATGTAATTAAAACAACTTAAATGCCACATTCTGTAGATCTCTGAAGTGTTTGAAGACCATCTATTTATCTCAACTGTATCTTTATTTAACCTTGAAAACATCCCTAACAAGACTATAAGTTTTATTGTTATAGGTGACTAACTACTAACTTGCATTTCCTAATTATCCTAGTTTTGGTTTTAGTTTTGTTTTTTTGATTTTGTTTGTTTGTTTGTTTGTTTTGTTTTGTTTGTTTGTTTTTGAGACAGGGTTTCTTTGCATAGCCCTAGCTGTCCTGGAACTAACTCTGTAGACCAGGCTTGTCTTGAACTCAGAGATCCACCTGCCTCTGCCTCCCAAGAGCTAGGATTAAAGGCATGTGCCACCATTGCCTAGCTAACAGTTTGTTATTATGTATACAGTGTTCTACCTGCATGTATGCCTGCAGGCCAGAACAGGGCACTAGTTCTCATTATAGATGGTTGTGAGTCACCATGTGGTTGCTGGGAATTGAACTCAGGAACTCTGGAAGAGCAGCCCATGCTCTTAACCTCTGAACCATCTCTCCAGCTCCCACCAGTTTGTAATAGTAGCTTTCAAGGACTAGAACTTTACATTACATTTTTTAATGAGTTGCATAGGTATAATACATTAACCAAGGGTAAAAACATATACCTTATGTTGGAACAAAAATCATCTTAAATTTGTATCAATATACAAAAACCCATACCAATGTAAAATATTTGAAATTAATAGTTGCTTTTTAGTTTAAAAGTAGATTCAATAATCTACCCTTTTATCCTATCATTCTTATATTTCTTCCCTTTTTTCTTTTCATCTCTCATCCCCCTTTCTCCCCCAACACTTTATAGGAGCGAAAAAAGGATAGAAGAAAGAAAAAGAAAGAGATTCCTTAATCTAGCCTCCTATGCTTAATTTCCTCCCTGACCATGACCAATAACAACTTGCAACTAACCCCCCTAAACAACAACAAATATCCATAACCCATCAAACATCAAAAAACCACCTCTTGGGAATGTGGGTGTCTTGTTCTTAAAATTGCTTCCTGCTGTCTGAAAGTAATGTCATATTTAGGGGACCCTGAGAAAATTAAGATAATGGTCAAGTCCTAGGAAAACTAGCTGTATCATTCATTGTCTTGTCTCTGTGTGATGGGAAGTTTCAGGGATTAACTGAAGTCCTGGCTGGAGTAGTCTGAGGCTGGACCATCTTAGCTAGCCACTTTGAAGTTGTCCTACATGCTGATTTTTGAGGAAACGGCAACATAGGCATTGTGAGAGGCTGGATCACCTAGGCTACTTGTCTGTGGAGGCCCAAATTGCTGAGGGTCAGAGAATCTGAGCTTACTTTACCCAGCAGGGCTGCATAAGGGGATGATTTGACCACAGGCCTGGTTACCAGGTGTTTGGAAGGGTCTACATTTTGTGCTGTGCAGTGTGATTTGATCTTGCAAGGGGGAGGTCTTTTGCCCTGCCCCTTGGCATTGTTATAAAAAGCCTTTTTGAATAATGGAAAAGGCTGTTGGGTAATGACTCAGGTCCTCCCGAAGCTATCCTGTGTTTCTGTCGGTCTCCTCTTTGCTATCTTTTTATTTAATATTTTCTTATCCCTCTCTCCTCATAAGAACTTGGAAAGGTGGGAGCTGGTCTCCCACACTTGTCTTCATTGGTGTCTGGTCCTTTTGTTCTGAAAGCACACAAACTTTCAAAGGTAACATATATATTTGCATTAACATAAGTATGGAATGTGTGATGTGCACAAATCAGCTAAAGATGAATCTCTGCTCTATGAGCAGGTAAAAGGTATCTGTCAACTTTATAAATCCATTTGGACTGCATAACAAAACTGTAACATAAATCTCCATCCATGCCATATGAAAGGATAGCTTGTAATAATAAGTCATGAGGACTCTGTAGCCAATAGGATTTATCATGTCTCATCCAATCTCAGAGTTGTTCCCATGTAGAGGGATCAGAATATACATTACCTGTCTTGTAGTTTTTCTTGTTTTTTTCCTTCATGTCTGCAGCCAAGATATTCAGGAGGTCTCTCCCAGTCAAATAGGATCTTTATTAATTTTGAAGGAATCCATAGCTTTTCATTTCCTATGGACACAAAGGCATAATCATTTATTATATAAACAAATGCAACACATTTCCTTAATTCCATTCTGAAGTTAAGAAATCCTTAAAATATATAGGCTGGTTTAAATCAGCAATTTTTTCCACAATCCAATGTCTCTCCTCAGTTGTTGTTTATTTTGTGCTCATTAGCATTTTAAAATGTAAAGTTAGCCGGGCGGTGGTGGCCCACGCCTTTAATCCCAACACTCGGGAGGCAGAGGCAGGAGGATCTCTGTGAGTTCGAGGTCAGCCTGGTCTACAAAGTGAGTTCCAGGAAAGGCACAAAAATACAGAGAAACCCTGTCTCGAAAAACCAAAAAAAAAATAAAAATAAAAATAAAATAAAATGTAAAGTTAATAAAGCACTATTAATCTCTCTGGGGGGTCTTTGTTACCCCTTCCTGTTTATTAAGCATCTCTGTAAAGTATAATTGGATCTTTCTACAACTGCTTGTCTTGTAGGATTGTGTGGTATGCCTGTAATATGCTTTATGTTGTAATATGTAAAAAACTGTCTCATTTTCCCTGGTTGATCTGTACTCATTAGTCCAATGTCGGCCTTTGCCACACCTCTGCATATTCCAGTAGGCTGGAACCTTCTTTTTAAATTATCTCTTGAAAAAACATTATTTCTAGGAATACCTTGTCTACAGTCCCTTTTGAAATCATCTTGCTTGCCAAAGTCAACACATTTGACAGTTTGGCTTTCCTTAAAACCTTCAGAGATTACTTCTCCTATTAAAGTTGCATCATTAGTATGAGATACAGTATCAGTCATATTTCTAATCAATTCATCTGTTGGTACTGATCTTGCCTTTAGAGGCCTAATCACCTTTTTGCATTCAGAATTAGCATTTCAAAAGCCAAAAATTTGATTAATATTTGTCTGACTTCTGGATCTGATACTATTCTATTTACAGCTGAGGTCAATCTTTGCATAAAATCAATGACAGCTTTTTGGGGGGCCTTGTATAATTTTAGTAAATGACTCAGACCTCTTTCCTGATTCTTCAAACTTATCCCAAGCATTTAAGGTTGCTAAACAACATAGCACCAAGGTGTGGTCATCAAATTCAAATTGCCTTTGCAATTCAGCATACTAGCCTTCACCTAGCAACTGATCTTGGGAAATATTAATACCTCTAGCCCTATTTCATTGTTCTATGGCCCTAGCTTCCCCTTTCCACCATGTTCTCCATTGTAACTGAGGACCAGCTTCCAATATTGCTGATGCCAAATCTTTCCAGTCTTGAGGGCTAATTCTATTCTGAGTTGCCCATGAGTTTAATATCTGCTTCACATAGGGTGAATGCATACCATATGAAATGACCACTTCCTTAAATCTCCTCAAATCTAATATTTCTATAGGATTCCATTTAACTTCTTCATAACCTAATTTGGTTCAAATAACTTTGGGCTGCCCTTCTTCAGTTTCATCATGCAGTGATGTGGTAGGTTCTTGTCTAAATTCTTGTCTGTGTCTGAGTGTTTTTCTTATTTTCATTAATAAGTCTTTCTAAGACTTGTATCCTATCAGTCAACATTCATATTTGGCACAATTATCAAACCACATTTTATATTTGGCACAAAAGAACACTGTGGCTATTAAGGATAAAATATGAATTAACCAGACTCATAGTTACAATTGGCATTATGTCAATCCCAGCTAAGTTGTTTATCTCCTCATATATTGCTTCCATTTTTAAGCCATCCATAGTAGCACTATACAGGGTCGTAACACCCTGTATTATGATATTTCTCATCCTTAATGTGGAAAGGATTTTTCTTTTTAATATTATTTAACTCTCTCCTAAAGGACTTGCCAAATGTCTTACCAAATCTACTGACTTTTCAGTTTGTCTACAGAGGTATAGGTGGCAAACTTGGGCCCCTTCCATGATTTCCAAAAGTGAGCCACTTTCCCGAGTACCCAAGAGCGGCAGCAGCAGCAGTATCAGCTGGGCTGGCATGATCTCTCTGTTCTCAATAGAGTGCCAAATGTTGTGAGTCTTTCCATAGACCACCAGCTCCCAAAAAATGACATGGAGACTTTTTATTAATTATGAAAGCTTGGCCTTAGCTTAGGCTTGTTCCCAACTAGCTCTTATAACTTAATTAATGCATTTATATTAATCTGTGTTCTGCCACATGGCTCATTACCTCTCCTCAGTACCATACATCTGACTTCCTCTGTGTCTTTCAGGCGAATCTCCTTTGCCTCAGATTCTTTCCCAGAGTCCCTATCTCTCCCCAGAAGTCCCACCTATCTTCTCCTGACTAGCTATTGGCCATTCAGCCCTTTATTAAATCAATCAGAAGGTGCCTTAGGCAGGTGAGGAAAGACAGAGACACATCTTCACAGAGTGTACAAAAAGATTACCCCAACTAACTAGAAAGATGGCTCAGTAATTAAGAGCATTGACTGCTCTTCCAGAGGACCTAGGTTCAATTCCCAGTGTCCACATGGTGGCTCACAACTGTCTGTCATTCCATTGCCAAAGGATCCAGTGCCTTCTTCTGGCTCCCAGGGGCACTAGGCACACGCCTAATATGAACGTAGACAAAATATCCATACACATAAAATAAAAATAAAATAATAAAGAGCTGGATGTTGATGGCTCATACCTTTAATCTCAGCACTTGGAAGGCAAGTGGATCTCTGTGAATTCAATGCCAGCATGGTCTACATAGTGAGTTCCAGGGATATACAGAGACTTTGTTTTAACAATAAATAGATAGATAGATAGATAGATAGATAGATAGATAGATAGATAGATAGATAAATAAATAAATAAGAAAATCCATGCCAGCGTGCTTAGAAACTTTTGTTGCGTTTCTGACTTTCTGATGTTATCATCTGGTACTCTCAGGAGACTTCTTGGGATTAGAGACTTGCAGGGTTTATTTGTGTGTAAACTCTGTTCCAGGATGCTCCTGCCTCATTTTGTTCTTCTTATAGTCATTTAAAAAGCAAAGCTAAGCCGGGCGATGGTGGCGCACGCCTTTAATCCCAGCACTCGGGAGGCAGAGCCAGGCGGATCTCTGTGAGTTCGAGGCCAGCCTGGGCTACCAAGTGAGTCCCAGGAAAGGCGCAAAGCTACACAGAGAAACCCTGTCTCGAAAAACCAAAAAAAAAAAAAAAAGAAAAGCTAATTTGAATCAATTTTGAGGTTCTTTTGAGATAGGGTCTCACAGTGCAGCCCACACTCACTTGGAGCTCACTGTGTAGCTAGCTCGGGCTGGCCTCAAACGTGTGCTCTTCCTGCCCTATACCCAAGAGTGCTGAGATTGCAAGAATGAGCCACAGTGCCCAGCCAGTTTATGTAGAAGGTTACTCAAGACAGTGCCTTTCAAACGACTTCAGGATGAGAAGCTGTTTCTTTGTTCGGTTGGTTGGTTGGTTGGTTTTGGTTTTGGTTTTTCAAGACAGGGTTTCTCTGTATAGCCATGGCTATCCTGAAACTCACTTTGTAGAGCAGGCTGGTCTCAAACTCACAGACATTCCCCTGCCTCTGCCTCCTAAGTGCTCGGATTAAAGGAGTGTGCCACCACCCGGCGTATTTGGACATTTGATCGCCAGCTGATGGCTCTATGTTTTGGAAGGTTGTGGAATTTTAATTTGTTTATTTTAAATATTTTTTTAGATTTAATGTGTTTGAGTGCCTTGCCTGCATGTATGTATATATGTGCACCACAGGTATGCCTGGTACCCTGAAGTTCAGAAGATGTCATCAGATCCCCTGGAACTGGAGTTATGGATGGTTCTGAACTACCATGTGGATGCTGGGAAATAAACTCAAGTCCTCTGCAATAACAGCCAGTGCTCATAGCCACTCAGTCATTCTCCAGCCCCAGTTGTGGCATTTTCAAGAAGTAGAACGTCACAGAGGACCTGAGTCACGGAACCAGCCTTTAATAGTCTGCCCCTACTTCCTGCGGGTTCTCTAGTTCCTGGCTGCAGATGTCGTGGTACCAAATGCCTCACACTCCTGCCTCCATGCCTGCCCTGCCAGCGTCAACCATATTCCCTCAAACAAATGAAACCTTCCTCACTTCTTGCCAGTTATTCGGTCAGAACAACAAGAAAAGTAACTAATGCAGATGCTATCTGATGGCGTTTTCAGCTTTAGGGTTGGTGGTAGCTAGTGGTCCAGTAATTTAGTGAATGCATTCCAAAGATTTACCTAGTAGTTAAAAAACATGGTATTTCAGACACAGAAGTGGGTGATAATGGCTATTGCTAGGACTAAAGATAGCCTCAGATCATTTTCGCTCTTGGTCTGCAGCATTCCAACTCTCCACAAACCACACAGGCTCTGGCCAACCAGCCTGCAGAATCTTGAACATAGTGTGACTTTTGCAGGAGACTTCAGTTCATACCTGAGATGGAACATCTAGGTGGATGTTTCCAGAGGTTTAAAGACCTGACTTCTCAGACCTCAGAACTCGCAGCCTACAGAGCAGCTGTCCCTTTAAAAGCCAGTGCCCTTCCTTTACCCTTCCTTTCAGCACACAGCTGGCCAGAAGCCACTTAATCAGACATGCCACCCAACCCTGCCGCCAGTCTGATAACAAGACTACTGTTGCATCACGACCCAGATGGGAAAAGGGGAGAATGCTCTAAGGAGCAGCAAGGGTTAGCTGAAATACACAGGAGGAGAGCAGGAGATGCCTATGGAACTGGATTTTAAGGATGCTTTATTTAGAGAAGCCTTGCCATGAGATTGGATCAAAAGGTGGTCTGCATGGGTATCTGCCTTGAAATACAAGGTCTAACACTCTGCCAAAGACCCCAAGGTTTGGTGCACACTTACTGATAGAGTGGCTTCTACACGCCCAAAGAAATTATCCAAGACTGAGCTAAACTAAAGCACCTGGATTGCTGTAGCAAATGTGGAAGAAGGGATTGAAAAGCCTAGAGTAGTGGGCTGCATGACCCTTTCGCAAGGTCGCATATTAGATGTCCTGGATATCAGATATTTACAGTATGATTCATAACAGTAGCAAAATTACAGTTATGGAGAAGCAATGAAAATAATTTTGTGGTTGGGGAGCTGAATGGGGAGCAACATGAGAAACTATTAAAGGTCCCCAGCATTGGGAAGGTTGAGAAGCACTGGCTTAGAGAATGCTAGGCATGTAGAGTGTCTGCATGAGGCCCTCAGATCAATCCCTAGTACCGTGTAAACCAGGATTTATGGTACATGCCTGTCATCCCAGCACTCAGGAGGAGCAGACAGGAGGATCAGAAGATCAAAGCCGTGCTCACATACCTTTGTAGCAAGTTTGAGACCAACCCAGGCTACATGAGACCCTGTCTAAAACAAAGCCCACGAAGGGCCTGGAGTGGTAGTTCATTTGGGCACTGGCTGCTCTTCTAGGGGGCCTGGGTGTGATTTCCAGCACACAACCATCTCTAACTCCAATTCCAGGGGGACCTGATGCCCTCTTCTGGCTTCCATGCTCACAAGAGGATTCCCTGACATTAGCACAACTGACACCATGATGGAAGTGCCATTCAGGCCTTGGAACCCAGCATGTAGGCAGCATCACCTGCCAAAACAAAATAAAACAAACAAACAAAGACCTGATCCATCAAAGTCCATAGTTCTGGGCAAGTCCCTAAATGTTCTAACCTTGCTTTTGACTTCTGTAGTTCCTTTTCAAACTAACTGTTCTTGCTAATTGAGGTATGTCAACCAGACTATGGTTTTGTGTTTAAAAGCTCACCCTGAGAAAGGCTCAGGACTGCACTCGCCAGCCAGCTAAGAAAGACTCTCTATTGGCATGAACCACGTCCAAGTGGTCTTCTCTGTTGAATACCTCACAACACAGACGGTCTAATACTCAGACTTTTTTTTTAATGTTTCAAACGTTCAAGGAAATGGGCCTACCGGAGAGAATATGCTGTTTGAGACAGGGTCTCACTGTGTAGGCTCGGCTGGCCTGGAACTCACTACGTAGCCCAGGTGGCTTCTAACTCGGAGAGATCCACCAACCTCTGCCTCCTGAGCGCAGTGATTAAAGGTGTGCCTCACCATGCCCAGTGAGAATATGCTTACTGAGGCAAGAAAATACAGTGAGAAAGGTGGATGTGCCCTGTAATCCCAGTTCTTAGAAGACTAGGGATACAGGAAGGTCCAATAACAGTATAAGCTCCATAGCAAGACCTTGGAAAGACAGAAAGAAAGGGAGGGAAGGAGGAAATGTGAAAAGATATGAGACAATGTACCAAGAAATGGGCAATTAAGTACACGAGGTGGGGCAACACTGTAAATTAAGCACCTGGAAAGATCTCAAAAACCAGGTGGAAGGGAAGTGCCCCCAGGGACTCCAGATGCAGGTGACACAGGATCATAGACCTGGGCTCTGCCTGAAGCCTAGAGGGATGTGAGCCACAGCTTCAGGCAGCGATCTGATAGGACCAGGCAGTGCCTTGCCCCTTGTCCCACTTCTGACCTGGACAGGCCTAGTCTCCCTTGACTCTGGTTGGCTCCCCACAGGGATGACTGGCAAGGAACTGAAGCGGACAGGGTGCATATCCCCACTCAGCCGGTCCTGCAAGCCGCATCATCACAGGTCCCTCCCTGCTGAGATGGATGGATCTACCTACCACACAGGTGTAAAACGGAAGAGCTCTGGATTAAAGGGCTCATTGAACGATACAGATTCCAGGCAAAAAGTGAAGGGCCAGTCCTGAGACAAATCCCCACAGCCACCAGCAGCTCAACCAGACAACACACAGGAAAATGTCTACTGGACCGAAGGGGCCATGGTGTCTCCTAACATTTCATTGGGAGAAACCATCAACTGTTCATTTTAGTTCAAATTGACTGTACACAAGACAGGCAGGACAATGACCAAGGGACAGTCCTGGAATAGTTTAGTTCCTAAAGAGAGGATTGCTACTTCTTGGTTGTTTGGTTCCCAAACCATAATGCAATACGACCTTCATGGTTAACCTCCAATGTCTTCCTCCAAAGGGAGTAAGAGATCTCTTGTTCTGAGCCAAACATCAGTAACCATGCCCGATTCAGGAGAACACCGATTCAGGTTACCTGGAATGATGTGTTCCATGGTGGAGAGGTCACATGAACGTCTGTAGTCACAGGGCAAAAGAAAGTCGCAAAGCTTTTGTCAAATACAGTGGTGGGAACATCAGGGAGGCAGTTCCTGCAAAGCAGAAAACTTTACCTCGGGTTTCTGGTACTATCTGATGGCATTCTTAGCTTGGTGGACGCTACTGGTGTTCTGGATTAGTATGTTCCAAGAGTCTTCTCTTAGTCACAGACTGTTCCCTCAGATACAGAGGTTGGTAATGTTATGTAGGAGGTTAGTTCTGGGTGAGATTGACCAACAGGCCACCAAAGATAGGTCGGACACACACACACACACATACACACACACATACACACACACACACACACACACACACACACACACACACACACACACACACACACACGATGGGTGGGCCAGCTAAAGGCCTTGAAACAGGGTGCAGAGACAATGGTGGTGGTTGGCTGGTGGCTGAGATATAAAGATAGCAAACAGTCAAATAGAGATAGATAGGCCAGCTCAGGCCAGGAAAAAAGCTAGCAAGCAGGCCATGCTAGCTAGCCAGGCAAGACGGAAGGCACTATAAGATCTCCCATCTGCGGACAGCTGTCCCTTCCCCTGGTAAAATCTTCAACTTTAGGTGTACTTCAACCCTATGCATATTCTTGAATTTCATATATTTATATAAAATAGGCGGAATTCTGGGTTAAAAGGCTCCTGAGAAAAGCATACCCCTCTCCTAGAAGAACCAGCCTAGAGCAGGAGGGGAACAGAGGGAGAAGAGGAATATGAACCCCATGGCTGCCAGGGTGGAGGCTGTTGCCGCCTGGCTTAGCCTACCTTTTTTTTTTTTTTTTTTTTTTTTTTCCGGTTTTTCGAGACAGGGTTTCTCTGTGTAGCTTTGCGCCTTTCCTGGGACTCACTTGGTAGTCCAGGCTGGCCTCGAACTCACAGAGATCCGCCTGCCTCTGCCTCCCGAGTGCTGGGATTAAAGGCGTGCGCCACCACCGCCCGGCCCTTTTTTTTTTTGATGGGAGGGTACATTTATTTATTTTTTATGTATGTACATATGTGCGTGCATGTACACAGGTCACAGCATGACTTCGGAATCAGAAGACAACAATTCTTCCACAAAACATAGGTCCTGGGGATTGGATTGAACCCAGGTCATCGGGTTTGGTGGCAGGTACCATACCTCATGGTAGTTCTAACTGAATTCTTGATGCCTCCTCTACTACTGGGTCCCATCTGAATTCAGGAGCATAACAACCCAGACTGATGCTGGGTAGAGACCACAGGAAACTATAGACTCCTCTATACACCAGTGATTTTCAATCTGTGGGTTGCAACCCCCTGCCAAACCTCTATCTCCAAAAATATTTACATTACCACTCATAACAGTAGCAAAATTCCAGTTATGAAGTAGCAATGAGAATAATTTTATGGTTGGGGGGAATCACCACAACATGAGGAACGGTATTAAAGGGGCGCAGCGTTAGGAAGGGTGAGGACCGCTGCTACGAACAGTAATGGTTGCTATGGGGATTAAAGATAGCGTCAGATGATTTGGGCTCTCGATCTGCAGCAGTCCATTTCTCCATCGTCACGAAGTCCTGGTGTCAGACTTCAACATCGATGTGGCTTTAGGAAACCTCAGTTTAATTTAGCATACTAAAAAGAACACGAGGGGTTCCCCCTCGGTGGTAAGGCACACCTGTAATCCCAGAACTTGGAAGGCGAAGCAGGAAGATCAGAAGTTCAAGGTCATCCTTGGCTCCATGAGATCAGCGTGGGCTACAGGAGACCTTTAAAAAACAAACAAATAAAAAGGAATGTGAGGTGAACTCCATTGATCTTCTACTCCTTTACTCTTTGCTTTCTCCTTTTCTACCTCTCAAGAGTGCAGCTGTGGCGGCAGAGCACATCTGCACTTCTGTCGCTCAGTGGCAGGCAGATCGCTAGTTTACACCAGCCTGGTCTACAGAGTGAGGCCCAGGTCTGCCTGGGCTATGTAGATTGACACTGTCTCAAGGAAAACAAAACTGCACAACTCAGATCTCAGATCTTTTCCAGCAGAGCTCCATGGCCATATCTAGGAAGCACTGTTCTCCCCTTGGAAGCATGTCGTCTAACACAGAATTGGGCCAAAGGGCAAGGCGGAGTCCAGGTTGAGTGTCTGAGATCTGCCAATGCTGGGCTCAGTTCTGCTTTCAAAGTGGAAAGACTTTGCTCTACTCGTACAATCCAGCTGGACGAGCCAAAGGCTCATGCCCTCCCAAACCTCCAGTCAGGGAGGCTCTGCCAAACTCCACCCCTTCTTGCAGGGCAGAGGACCTGTTCTTAGTCCTCTAGCTAAAGTGTGTGTGTGTGTGTGTGTGTGTGTGTGTGTGTGTGTGTGTGTGTGCGCGCGCCAGAGGTCAACCTCATGTGGCATTCCTCAGGAACCCACTTTACTTTGGAGACAGGGTCTCTCACTAACCTGGAACTCACCTGATTGGTTAGACTGGCTTGTTTCCACCTTCCAACACTGGGATTACATGCACACACCACCACACCTGCTTTTTTAATGAGTTTCAGGAATTGAACTTGAGTTTTCGTGCTTGCACAGCAAATACTTCCTGGCCTTGGAAATATATATATTTTTAAATGTTATTTACTTTTACTTTTAAAGTTTTTTTTAACTTATTTTTATTTTATGTGTATGGGTGTTTTGCCTGCATGTATGTCTGTGCACCATGTTTGTGCGCGGTGCCCTCAGAGGCCAGAAGAATAAAGACAGTGTGAGCCACCAGGTGGCACTGGGAATCAAACCCAGGTCCTCTGGAAGAGCAGCCAGTGATCTTAACTGCTGAGCCATCTCTTCTAACCCCTGGAAATACATTTGAGTGGCTGCCTCACAGATGGATCAACATCTCCTGGTTTTATTATAGAACTTAGGACACCAGAAGTGTTCGGAGACATAGCTCTTGACATTTTAGCCTCCATTTCTGATTCATGAGACGTGGTAAAGGCAGCATTTAGGATGTACCTGCTATCTGCATTTTCATGCAATCCTCACAAAGACCATCTCAAATATGCTGATGGAAATTGCATTGCTTTAAACGCTCCCCGCCCCCAACAGAGTCTCACTATATTGTCCAGACTGGCTTTGAATTCAAGATCTTTTTCCTGCTGTACCCTTCTGAATTCTGGGGTTCATAGGCTTGCATCACTTCACCCAATTTAAACTATTTTTCCTTCAAGGCTCTTTGCTTATTAAGTGCATATAAAATATTTCTGTGCTGGGTGTGGTGGTGCATGCCTTTAATCCTAGAACTCAGAAGACTGAGACAGATGGACCTCTGTGCATCTGAGGCTAGCTGGTCTACGGAGCATGTTCCAGGACAGCTAGGGATACACAGAAAAACCCTTCCAACGTAGTAGGATGTTTTTAAGACAGCGGCATGTGAGCTAGGGAGATGTTGCAGAAGTTAAGGGCACTTACTTCAGGGGACTCTGGTTTAGTTCCCAGCATACACATGGTAGCTCATGACTATTTTCCAGCTCCAGGAGATCTCATGCTCTCTTCTGACGTCCACTGGCACAGCAGGCACATGATGTACATACACGCATGTATGCAAAACACTCACATACACAAAATAAAAATTAAATAGAAATATATTTTATTTATTTATTGTTTTGTTTTTGTTTTTCAAGACAGGGTTTCTCTGTGTAGTTTTGGTGCCTGTCCTGAATCTCGCTCTGTAGACCAGGCTGGACTCGAATTCACGGAGATCCGCCAGGCTCTGCCTACCGAGTGCTAGGATTAAAGGCATGTGCCACCACTGTCTGGCATATAAATATATTTTAAAAGACATATATTCCACCACTCCTGATGAAAAAGCATCCTAATCCTTAGCTAATTTATGTAGACATGACTCCATAAAGCTCTAAGCCAGTATTCTTGTTCTTAAGAGCCTCTAAATACATTCTTTTTTCCCCCCTAATTTATATTTTATGTATGAGTTCTCTGCATGCCAGAAGAGGGCATCAGATCCTATTATAGATGGTTGTGAGTCACCATGTGGGTGCTGGGAATTGAACTCAGGTCCTCTGGAAGAGCAGTCAGTGCTCTTAACTGCTTAGCCATCTCTCCAGCCCCACTAAACACATTCTTGATTGTCTTTTTGGTTTGGTTAGTGTATGTGTTATGGGTGTATACACACATGCACACATACATACATAAACACACACAGAAAGAGAGAGGGGACGTTGTGAACTGTCATGTGAGTACTAAGACTTGAACCTGGGCCTTCTGAAGAGCAGACAGTGTGCTTACCCACTGAGTCATCTCTGCAAGCCCCTCCACCTTATTTTTTTAAGACAGGGTGTCTTCTTGAACCTGGAGCTTGCTATTTCAGTTAGACTAGCTGATTAGTAAGCCCTTGGGATCCATCTGTCTCCCCCCAGGCCCCAGCAATGAGGTTACAGATTCATGCCCTTGTGCCTGGCTTGTGCATGTGTTGTGTGTGTGTGGTAAATGTTTGTGGCGTATGCACATGTTGGGGTGTGTGTGTGCATGCCCATGTATTCCTGCTGAGGCTAGAAGAGGATATGGAGGCCAGAGGAGGATTTGTGTGTGTGTTTTATCACTCTCTGCCTTATTCCTTCGAGCAGGAACTCTCACTGAACCTGGAGCTAGATGGAGGGCCAACTATCCCCAATGATCTGATTCTTCTGTCTCCACCCCTACCCAGCACTGTGGCTACAGGTGGGGGTGGGGCCACACCCAACTATTTACATGGGTTTGGGGGATCCAAACTCAGGTCCTCATGCTTGCTCAGTACCACTGTACCACCCTGTACCTTCCCAGACTGACATTTATATCTTACAGTTGCGTATTAATCTATACTTTCCTTAACATAAAAAAAGATAACCAGGTGACTGAAGAGACAGTTCTGCGGTTAAGAGCACATACTGCTCTTGCAGAGGACCAGAGTTCAGTTCCCGTATACATGTTGATGGTTCACAGTCAGCTATAACTCCAGGTATAGAGAGATCCAATGCCTCTCAGCTCCGAGGACACCTGCATTCATTTGTGCAACCCCCATACACGTAATTGAAAATAAATCTTACGAAAAAAATGATAACTGAGAGGCTGGAGAAATAGCTCAGCGGCTGAGAACGCAAACTGCTTTTGCAGAAGATCAGAGTTCAGTTTCCCAGCACCTAGATCGGGAAGCTCACAGCTGCCTGTAATTGCAGGGAATCTGATGCCTCTAGCTCCGCGGGCAACTGTACTCACATGCATACACAAATAGACACACAGGCCGAGCGGTGGTGGCGCACGCCTTTAATCCCAGCACTCGGGAGGCAGAGCCAGGCGAATTTCTGTGAGTTCAAGGCCAGCCTGGTCTACAGAGCAAGATCCAGGACAGGCAATGAAACTAAACAGAGAAACCCTGTCTCAGGGGAAAAAAAAAGATAACTGAAAAACTCATCTCTGGCATTTAGGAGCTAAGAAGCAATCAGCTGGCCAACTCTGAAAACCTTTGGATTTAGGAGGCGATGTCTTTTGTGTGCTCACTTGCAGAAGGGCCAGCCCTGAGTTTCTCTTTAGCACACAGGGCAAACCAGCAGAACTTGTGACTTCAGTGCCCTTTTCCAGCTTCTTACCTGAGATGCTGGTCCAGGTGTCACTTGCTTCTACTCTCCAGTTAGCACAACAGATGCCTTTTGCCTGGTGAAATGATTGTTTTTCGAGCTCTGATAGTATTTACCTTTCTCCCCATTGCCTCAGCACCCAGTGCCTTATAGTCCAGGCTTTTGTTGTGTGGGCTTCTCACTTGTGTACCAATATCCCAGATTTGAGATCAGTGATTTGCATTTCTAAAACGATCGACAGATTTAGGAATCACGAATCATTAATCTTTATCACCAAAATTAATTGGTAACTCTCAATATTTACAGCCGTTTAAAGCTATATTACTTACAAAGTTATGTTAAAATGGCCACATCTGTTATAGTGAGATAAGCATATATATATATATATATATATATATATATATATATACATGTAAGCATACATATACATTTATGTGCACACATATTTTTGTATACTTGTGATACTAAGAATTAAACTCAGGGGCTTACACGTACTACCTATGTGTCTTATGGGTTATATACCTATCCCTTACATATCACGATGGGCCCATGCTGTTGCCCTAGCTGGCCTCAAACATTCAGCTATAAGCATGAATAAAACGGATGTGCATATAACAATTTGAGATGGCTGGCTATGTTTCAAAATTAGACTATGATCCAGGAGTAATGGTGCACGCCTTTTGTCCCAGTGCTTGGGAGGCAGGGCAGGTGAATCTCTGAGTTTGAGATCAGCCTGGTCTACATAATGAGTTCCAGGACAGCCAGGGATATGTAGAGAGACTCTGTCTCAAAAAACAAAAACAAAAATTAGACCGTGAAACTTTTGAATACTCTCAAACTGGGAAAAACTGTAGTTAATTATCAGGAATAGTGAGTTATAGAAAACAGAAATAAACTGAAACCAAGCAACACCGATCAGCAAGGGAAGAGGGCTTGGCCCCATTCAATCAGAACTGACCCTTTCTTTTGTGCTCTAGGTAAATCCAAAGGTTTTTTTTTCCCCTTTAATTACATTTTTTTCATACATATTCTGATTATGATTCTTCCTCTGTCTGCTCCTCTTAGTCTCTACCCAGCTCACCTCCCTCCCATCCAGATCCACACCCTTTCTGTCTCTGGTTAGAAAAACAGGCATCTAAGGAACAATAATAAAATACAATAAGATAAAACAAACAAATTGGAATAGGACAAAATAACCAAACAAGAAAAACAGCCAAAGAAAAAGTACAAGAAATGCATAAATGTGCAAAAAACGCATAGGCTCACACACACAGGAATCCCATAAAAACACAAAACCGGAAGCCATACTATAGATGCAAAGGACCTGTAAGGTTTTAAAAAAAAAAGTGTCCTGGGGCTGGAGTGATGGCTCAGTGGTTAAGAGCACCAACTGCTCTACCAGAAGACCCGGGTTCAATTCCCAGCTAACAACTGTCTGTAACTCCAAGATCTGACACCCTCACACAGACATACATGCATACACCAATGCACATAAAATAAAGATAAATTGTTTTTTTTTTTAAAAAAAAGTGTCCTGACTTAACATTATTAGACAAAGGACCTCCAAAGACGCTGTTGAGTTCATTTCGTGTTGGCCACCTGCTGTTTGGCACAGTGCCTACCCTTAAGAGTGGTTTGTTTCCCCAGTGAGACTCCCTTGGAGAAAATTAATTTTTCATTTCCAAGTGGCTGTCGATAGGAGATAGGTTCTGGGTTAGGAATGGTGGCACAGATCCATTTCTCCTTTTCGGCTCTAGAACCCCATCTGATGCAGATCCTATCCATGCTGCCACGGTCTTGTGAGTTCATATGTGTGCCAGCCCTGTTGGATCTAGAAGGCCTTGATTCATTGGTGTCCTCTGGCTCCTAACACTTTTGCCTCCTCTTCTGCAGAGTTCCCTGACCCCTGAGGGGAGGGATTTGATAGAGACATCCTTTTTAGGGCTGAGTGTTCCAGGGTCTTTCACGATGCATGTTGTCTGGCTGTGGGTCTCGGTATTTGTTCCTATCTGCTGCAGGACGAGACTTCTCTAATGATGGCTGAGCAAGGCAGGGATCTATGTACCTTCCAAGGTTTTTGTTTTGTTTGTTTGTTTGTTTGTTTGTGAGACAGGGTTCTCTGTGAAACAGTCCTGGCTGTCCTGGAAGTCACTCTGTAGGCCAAACTGGCCTCGAACTCACAAAGATCCTCGTGGCTCTGCCTCCCAAGTGCTGGGATTAAAGGCGTGCGCCACCACCGCCCAGCAACTTCCAAGTTTTAATAAAATTAATTAGTTAGGAAGCCACAGGAGATTGCATGACTTATGTTTCAGATTAAATTTGGAACTGTACTGAAATTAGAAACTAGCTATCTGGGGGGCGGGGGGAATGGCCCAAGATAACCTGGGTTGGTGAACCAGACAGTTCAACCGGTTGCTGCAAAAACGCTACAATAGAAAAGGTCTGGGCTGAGCGCCTAGCAGGGAAGAGGGGCGGGGCCGGGCGCGGAGGGGGTGGAGCTGGCCCTTATAGCTCCTCAGTGACGTCACACAGGCTCCGCCCCACGCTGCCCACTCCCGATACTTCTGCGGCTCGCCGGCGCCCCGGAAGCTGCCCCTGTTCGGGGGTCACGATGGGCAGCAAGATGGCTTCCGCCACCAGGGTCGTGCAGGTAAAGCCTGGGCCACTCCCGCGCGTGGGAGGGAGGGAGGGTGCAGCTGCCGCAGCAGCAGCAGCAGCGCCCGGAGGCGAGGAGGAGAGGCGGTGGCAGAGAACGCGCTGTGACCGCGGCCCTGAGCAGGGCTAGCGGGTGTGTGTCTGAGAATGGGACCTCGGGCTCCAGGTGTCCGCGAGTAAGTGGAGTCTGGCGCCGAGGGTTCGAGCCGCGCGGCAGGAGGTAGCTTCTGGGAGTGCAGGCTCGCGCTCGTCCGAGGTCTATGGATTCCCCAGCACTTCATTAGCCCTAGGAGTCCGCGGACTTAACGCTGCCCTCCATCAGTGTA